TGAGGTTAGAATCCAATCAAGGTTAAACAAAGTAACCACATGTCACATTAACAGAGATCGTTAAAAACCAGACAGGAAGACTTTTAACCCATTCCCCCATAAATCCTATGGTTGAGCCGCAAACACCCAAGAATTTTACTTTGCTTTTAACATTTGATCCTGTGCTTGTTGTTTCAATGTGGATACTTTCTTTCTGTAAAGTGTGGGAAAGCTTAAAGTTGTGGTCTTTAGATAATAAGGATATAGAACAATCTGAAGATTAGGCTGCGACAGTCCATCAATTCTTCTGAGCACTTTTCCAGTTCCACGGCCACAGGGGGACTGCAACTTATCCCAGTTGTCATGGGGCAAAAGGCAAAGCCCATCACTAGGCTAACACAAAATGACAACCATTCAAATTTACTCTGCTTCCACTACTTGAAATTCTGTCATTCGTATTTAGACCTTGGCCTACTAGGGTAGCAACAAGGCAAGACTCAATCCAAATTAGTATTCACTGTCTAGGAACCAAGAATGTACGTACCAACTCACGAGCCAGTCTACATACAAGGTTAGAGCTGAGCCAACGAAAGATTTTCCTAGTTGTTCCTAGTAAAATTAATTCGTTTATACATTGGTTCACCTCTGCTGGCACAAAATAAAATATTAATTACAGAATATCGGTTTAAATATGTGAACTGCATTTTAATTAAGTGAGACAACTGGGTTAGTTCACATTTGCTGTGACGACTTTACGATCTAACCCTGCTCGGACTCACTCATTTAAATGCCAGATAGAAAGAACAACAAGAATGCTCAAGAGTTCATCAGAATAAAATTTTACTGCAACATCATGCAGAGCTTCTGTTTGAATACTTGCATAATAAACATAGTAAAGATGGAGGAATGAATGAGAATGAATGAGACTGTCAGTGAAACAGTCTCATATGAAAGAGAAAACTTGGTCGCATTACATAACCTCTGTGCCCCGAAGAAAGGGAACTAAAAACAGCCCCATTATAGCTGCAACAAAGCAAGAGCAGAGACGTGCTGAAAAGACACTGAAAAGCTCATATTCCCATTAGATGAGGACTATTGAAAATAAAAAGTTCTATAAGACACCTCTTCTTTCATATAATCTGGGTTATAATCAGCTGAAAATGCTCTCAGACTACCAGGTTCCAATCTGAGCAGACAGGCTGCACAGTGGCTCACAAATAAATCGTAATCGTGTTGTTAATTGAATGATCTGCTTCAACATGCACACTTAGAGAAGGCTCAAAGTCAAAAGAGAGAGAGTGTGGATGGGGAATAGTAACAGTCCCAGATGAAGCAGTGGGCCTGTGAGGCTCATAGTAACCTTGACTGAGCACAGAGCCATGCAGGCAACGCAGTAAGAGGCAAGAAGGCTTTGAAGCTGTACTGCAGAGAGCCTAGCAGGAATTCTGATGTCCTGCTGTATATCCTCAAACCTTCCTCCTCCCCCACCCTGTCTCTGCAACTGATTCAATATAAAGTGAGGGAACGGGAACACAGGCCAATAAAAGAGAAAGAAGAGAAATGGGAGCAAGAAGATTAGAATAAAGGTAGATGGAGACCGAGAGAGACAGAGGAGTGCATGTTAAATCAAATCAAGCCAAGTCTAGGTTAAAGAAACCAACAAAGTGTCAATCTCAGCTCTGTTACCATTGGACTGATCCCAAACCAGAAAATAGCAGAGTGAAGACATTGTCAGAGCTACCCCAACACAAACCTTCACTACGCTATCAATATTCAATTAGGGGGCCAGGGATAAATGGACGAGCCAGCCTCAGGGGTTCAGCCTCAAACCATACTTTTGTGTGAGGATTGAGGCCCTTGAAACTAACACAGTGAAACTTTCTTTATAAATAAGAAGCCAAGAGTGCATACATGCTTCTCAACGTTAAAAGCAATCAGGCTATGTACATTTAACATCTCTCTTTACTGCATGTTTACAAGTGATCAAGCCTGTTGCTCCACTTACTGGTCAAAAGTAGCTGCAGTCGTGTGTTTTGTAAGAAAAGAGATTGAATTTCCAATTGAGATCCAAAACTAAACTTGCCATCTTCAGCCTTCTGCTTAAGCCTGCAGGAAATCGAACATGAAAAGCTCTATGGGTATCTAAGACCTTCTCCTTTCACAATAAGCAGTCGTAATGTAGAAATCTTCATCATAAATTATTCAGGAAGATATGAAACGTCTCATCAAGTTTCTGATTGATACGTCGCAAACCTGCAAAGTCTGACCCTACCTACAGTAGGGTTTCACCACTAAATCAAATACATATATATTTATATTTATATTAAGAGCAGACCTGTCAGAGTAAAAGCATCAGCTGTAAGCCCTCAAGTCCCCTGATGACTAAGTCAATGACAGAGTGAACAAGGCTAACCCAGTGACTCAGAAACACCGATGAGAGGCGAGCCTCAAATTACACATCTGCCAGAGAATGAGGGGTGGGGTGCAGAGGGGTACAATTACATTTTAAATGGGCATGCTGGGATGCTCACTTGATGGCAAAATCCTCAGATCTCATCTGAAAAGGCAGCGCGTGAACTCGGCACATAGCTCAGTGGACAAAGAAACCTGAAGAACTCCTTTAAGAGATAATGAGGGCCAGCTGTGACTCAAGACTTTTAATGAAAATCAGTGATTCTGTTTGGATACAAACATATGTGGAAAAGATTGTTTTTCTTTTAAAGAGAGAAAGGGACAAAAAAAATTAGCTGAACTGGCACATCTCTGAATTTCAATCAGGCACGATATGAGCACCACAGCCGATGTCCTTTCGTGGCCTGAAACAGACCCTTGCAGTTGTGTTTTCACTGGAAAACCACTCTGGCAAATCTGTGAAATGTGCCACTTCAATTGAAGTAAGTAAAAAAACAAAAAAAAGCTTCACGCCAAGTCAGATTTTCAGAGCTCTGCAACATCTTCATAGCTCAAAACCGTTTTCCCCTGACACGGGGGAAGGATGCCGACTGCTGAACACTTCATTTTGTACGATGCTGTATGAATGCGAAATTAGTCACGAGAATCTAAGTGAGGCCGACAATAAGCTGAGATCATTTCGTATTAATTACATCTTTGTCACTGATGGAGGCGTTTTACTCTCGTTTGAGGGGAAAACAGCTATTAATTCAAAGTATTCACACCAACAGGAGCTGAAAACAAGAATTGCACAGGGAGAGGGGAAAGAAGTCAGAGAAAGGGAGAGCGATAATGATGGAAAGAACCAGAAACGGGGCGGCGAGAGCACAAACTGGAGCTCAGGGAGGGGATGAGCGGTGACAACAGCAGATCCGGTGGGATCAGAGGAAGCCCTCAAAGCCGACTCCCAAAGCTGGGATGAAGGCGGCTCAGTGTGGAAGCAGAGAAGATGAAACACCATTTGGGGCCGAGGCCCCCCCGCTGCTGCGCCTCTGTGTTCGGGGCCTGCGAGCTCCTCTGCCTCTGAAGTGCTAAACACCTCCTTCACACCCCTGGCACTGCACCCTCCTGCCATTTGGTGATTTAATGCAGCACTGCACGGATGGATGATTATCATATAGTGCATTTACTCGTCTACTGGGGCTGCAACAATGCAGTCATTCTCACTGATGACTCTGGCTTCATTTTAGAGTCGAAGCATTTTTTGTTTGGTCACTACAATACTAAGAATGAGTCTCCAAAAATGCTCACTTCAGTATCACACAAGATGAACACAAATCTGCTTGCAAGATGGAGTGATTGAGTTTGGAATTTTTGAATGAAATGACTTCCACTCTCCAAAGAAAGATCTGTCTCTCATGTCCACCGACTCACTGTTGAATGGGTTCATTTCGGCTGGTATCTCATGAGATCAAAACTCCAAAACATCTGCATCTTTATTTTGACTGTGACGCTTGCTTGGCGGACAACAAACAGTGATCACGACCAAACTAATCGCTTATCTTGAAAGCAGTCGGCGGGGTGTCTTTAGAAGGCAATGAAGCACACAGCTAGAAGCACAAAATTGTGACAATTGCAGATTTCCTCCTTTTGGACCTGAATATTTTTGGTGTTTTGGGGCTTTTAAATAGACAGAAGGACTAAGAAGATGTGACCACAGAATTTTCAATTTTTGTGGAGTTTTATTAATTAAATTATTAGACAAATCTACAAAAACAAATTCTAAAATTGCTAAAAAAGATTGCTCATGAAGAAAACATGTATCAGTGGCAGCTTTAGGTGCAATCATTTGTGCTAGAACTGATGCTGAGAGAGTGTGTTTCTATCCACGTGGAATCCAGGCTGTTTGCGTTTAATCATAAACCATCACCAGCTCTTTCTGGGGGAAATATGATTTTCTGGATGAGCCCATATGCTGCAGCAGATTGACTTGCGGGAGATTATTTATCAACCAGGTAAAAGATAAACTCGAGTATGTGCACAATGACATGTGCTCAGGAGCACACAGCGGGACAGAGGGCACTCATTTTTAAGAAATTATGACGTGCATTATGAAGGACACTTTGTCCCGCTTTTTGTTGGCATTTTCAGGTAGCGTACACAAAAAACAAACACACACAGAGAGTGTAGTAATAATTGAAGGTATTGGAATTTAAATAAATTTCATTATTACTGGGACTACTTAAGAGCTTAAAAAAAGAATAAAAGGGTAAAACGCCAGCCTTTCAGAATCTCAAACCTCCGGCGTGTTCATGTCCCAGATAAACGCGTCCCAACTTCAAAGAGCCTGTTGTTACACTGCAACATAGAAGCTTATTGTTTCGCAACACTTTTAACATCTCTGTCGACAAAGTATCTTTTCTGCGGTTATGAGAGTATTGTTGTTATTATTTTAGTTTTGCGCTGTGCAGGCCTGTTTTAGAGCTCCTGTTTGCGCCAGAAAAAAAAAACATTAAAACCCGCTCCAACTCGCTCGACGTGACACGAGCGGAGGTTATCTGCTTTGCACCCAAACACATTCAGCGGTTCTTCAAACAACTTGGTGTCTTTTATTTGTTTTATTTAATTACCTGCATAGTGAAGACTCCCAGCTCCTGAGAGGACAGCTTTTTCATCTGTTCGGCCAAGACTTGCGCTTCTTCCAGGATGGAAAACTCCGTCTCGGCTCCGCAATATCCACTAGAAAGAGCCAAGCAGATTAACACGAAGCTCCGCGAAAAAGCCATGAAGCCTCCGCGCGAGCCAATGTGTTTATCCCGAAAAGCAGCGCGCGCGTTCGGTCTCAAAAACAGAGGTTTCTCCGCTGACCGCCTCGCCATGATGGTTGAGGGGGTTTACAAACTGGAGAAGCACGGAGTCAGAACGGGTGGTTTTGAGGGGGGGAACTTCAAGGGAAACTACTTTTACAACTTTGCAGCGTAGAGTACGTGTGCCCTTTCTCTCCGGTACAAGTCTCCAGAATTCCCAGCGACACAAATCATTGCACCTCCTTGAAATCCCTCCAGAGAAGAAAGCAAATCCATGCGGGGCAGGGAATATGTTTATTCTTTCTTTTCTTCCCCCTTACGTTGTCGGTGTTCCCTCTTCGATCAGTGCCTCCAACTCCTGGAAGTCTGGCAAAGTGTGTGTGAGCCGGAGAGTCACCACAAAGGGGGTGAAAGTAGTAGGCGTGGAAACACCGAGGAGTCCTGCCGGCGCCTGGATCTGACGATCAATGGATCAGGCTTTCGCGATGCCTTCAGTAGCTTCGTGAAAAAGAACACCGCCGATGTGGAATAACCCTGTTTTATAGACAAATACGATGGGAAGAGTTTTTATTTCTCAGTCCCATTCCTTCAACGTGTGACAAAACAGGTTTATATTTATATATGAGTGGTACATATAAATTACTGCTCAAAAACAGAGAAATCTCTTTAATTCGAGGTTCCACGAAAGCACCATCACGCCTTCAAAGATTTCTTACCAGTCACCAAAAAGGGAAGCGCCTCTGGGGAGTTTCACAATGATTTATTATTTTTAACTCTGTATTTCATTTATAGACTTGAAAAAATAATTAATCTTTTAATGGTTTAATTTCAGCTAAAAGCTAATTTTATCGAAATAACCCAAATCACTGATTTAGGTTGAAAGGCCCTGCAGTGCAGTGTGAGACAGCGACCTTGTATCCATAGGGATGAAGCAGCTTGGATAACGTGCGTTTCTCTCTCTCTCTCTCTCTCTCTCTCTCTCTCTCTCTCTCTCT